CAGAGGGGGGGGAGGTGGGCCAATTGGGCCGTGATGCTGTTGTCGCAACGGGTCCTAGAAATGCGATGCGCCTGCAACTGCGGGTAGATGCGCCGCTGGGATCTCAGAAGAGGAAGGGCACAGCTGGCATATGTCAGGGGCCAAGCCGTCACCGCTGTTGCGTTTCGAAAACGATAGAAGGGTTTTCGCAGGTGTCCCTCGAGAGAACAAAGGCCTATTGTCCGTCGCGAGAGAGGGGAGATCAACGAGGATCAGGTACAGGGATTCGCGGGAGAGACGGGGGGGGTCTTGTCGCGAGATCTGCCGCCTCTTTTTAATTAACTACTTACTGATCAAGCCCAGCAGACTCTCGGGTGAGTGAGATGGCGCGCGAGCAAGGAACCAAGGCAAGTAGTGCACCCTAATGCAAGCAGCAAGCAGAGAGCAGAGAACAAAAAGTGAATTCTTGCGAACCGCCTGTTTGATTAACCTGCATGCAAGAAGAGAGTGTATGAAAGAAACAAGAATATCCAACCCGCCAAGGCAGCGCAGCTCCAGGGATTAGAATTGGAATGCGGATGCACGAGGTATGCGGGATGCGCGGCGGGCTCCAACTCTCCTGCCAGGTTCTGGGACCCGGCCAGAGTTGGCGTCGAGAGTGGACCGGGCCATCATGCACCTTACGAAGCAAATCGGGGGACAATGGGGATGCATTGTTTTGTTGGTCTTCGCTGCTGATGAGGTGGCTGGGCAGCGGCAGCGGCAGCATCGGTATCGGTCGGCGGGTGGTGGGCTGCGAAAATGCTGGTGGCGGGGGATTTGCTCTCCCAACCCAAGCAAGCATCAACATACATCCCTGTCCGACATGTGTAGGTGTGTGTGCACCGCCTGGACTTCGTAAGCCTGGGCTCGTGAAGGGACCACCTCTGTCCACTGCTGTCCACTGCTGTCCACTGGCTTGTGATTGATACAGCACGCTAATAAATGGGCAGGGGTCATGATATGATCGTATTCCATGTTACCATCTCGATCTGAACGGATCAACAGGGACCGTCGCAGTCGCGGTTTGATACCTGCCATAGGAGTACTTCGTACGTTGCAGAGTTCCCAAGATGGTCAGGTCATTTCATCCAGAGGAGATCTGTCCTGTCCGTCTGATGCAGACAAAGTATACAAAATGCAAGCCCATGCATGGGCCCCTTCCTTTACCCCAGCCCAGCGCAAATGATCCCGTCTAGTTGAAAATGCTTTGATCCAACAAAAAAAAAAGAGAAACCAGAAACCAACCCAAACAAAAACACCCAGGTATGTTATGTATACGACGGGAAAAAAAGAAGAACGGGATCACAGCAGGCTCTCCCCCAGCGCGCACCGCACAAGCGAGCAGCCCGCCCGCACCGTCTCGCGCGCGCCGCTCTCGATCTCGGGCGCCAGGCTCGGGTTGACCTCGACCAGGTCGACGGCGACGAGGCTGCCCGTCTCGTGCACGCACTCGCAGATGTAGTCGCCCTCGCGCAGCGTCAGACCCCCGCGCACGGGCGTCCCCGTCGACGGCGCCCACATGGGGTCCAGCGCGTCGACGTCGAACGACAGGTGCACCGGCGTGTCGGACCCGATGTGCGCGAGCGCCATCTCGACGACGCGCCCGATGCCGTGCCGGTCCACGTCGAACATGCTGAACGCGCGCACGCCGTGCTCCCGCAGCAGCCGCTTCTCGGCCGGGTCCACGTCGCGCAGGCCGATGTAGACGAGCTTCTTGAGGCTCAGCCGGTGCTCCGGCCGCAGCCACCCAAAGTACTCCTCCTTGTCCTCCCTGGCCAGCCCCGTCAGGAAGGCCAGCGGCATGCCGTGGATGTTGCCGCTGTCCGACATCTCGGGCGTGTTGATGTCGGCGTGCGCGTCGACCCAGATGACGCCGATCTCGCGCCCGCCGAGGCGCTCGCGCGTCGCCTTGGCCGACCCCGCGATCGTGCCGATGGCCACCGAGTGGTCGCCGCCGAGCGTCAGCACCATGCGGCCCTCGCGCGCCTGCTCGTAGACCTGCTCGGCGATGCGCCGGGTCACCGCCGACACGGCCCTCGGGTTCTTCATGCCCCGGTAGTCCGGGTCGTCCTTGGGCGCGAGCGCCGCGTAGTTGTGCACCTCGTCGTGCCCGTGGAGCTTGTAGCCCAGCTCGTCGCGGAGCTGGGTGAGCAGGCCGGCCTCGATCAGGGCCGAGGGGGCGGCGTCGACGCCGGCTTTGCGCTGTAACAAAGTTGTGTCAATGACCGCTGCCCCCCACGTGTATGGTCTGTGTAGATGTAGTTATTGGTGGGGGGATAATGCTTACCTGCCCGCCGGAGAAACCCACGGCGACGACGCCGAGGTCCTCGGGGTGTGAGAGGAACTTGGACTTGACCATGGAGGTGAAGGGGGGGTCCTGGTGAGCTCCGTTGGTGGCCATTTTCGGAGAGATTTCCTGAGTAAGAGAAGCTCGTCTGAGCATCAAAAAGTGTTCTAAATGAGTGAAGAAGAAACGTCCAAAGTCAGCACGAAGAATTGTCAATTACTCCCACGTAGGGTAAAGTCTGTATGTATGAAAACATCACTCTTCCGACAGCTAAAGAACTTTTTTTTAAAAAAAAAAATCAAAAGTCGATGTCATAAGTCATGTCTGTCGGCAAGCCTCCCTTATCGCAGACACTAATACAAAGAGCCCAGACATGGTAATGTGTGTGATAGCGCAGAAGGTAGTTAGTTGTGCGCCGGAGGGTGTGCTTGGGGTGGGGTCCCGTCGGTGCTTACCGATAGGCACTTGGGTAAGGAAGGCAATGGAGGGAGCAGGGCAGAGTGTCGCTTGTCCTAGATTCTCTGTGTACGTACCCAGTCTGAGACGGACGGTGTCGTCTGTTTTGACTCGAGCCTCGAGCAAGGGCTGCCGCGGCAGATCGGGCTCTAGGTAGAGAAGGGAAAAGACGCAGTGCGTTAGGATGGCAAGGCTAGCCTCTATGCGGCAGGTTTCTGGCTTTCCAAAGTGAAGGCAGGGGGGGGATAGTTCCGGATCGTGAATCTGGGGGAGAACGAAATAAAAAAAAAAACATGGACAAGATGATTGATATTTATAATTCCTTTCTCTTGTTTGCCCTCCTCCATTCCGGCCGGTCCCATCCTTCATCTTGATTCCCATCCTGTCTCATTTTTTTTGCCCACCCCAATAGCCAGCCAGGTGACCAACTCTCTCTTGTCCCACCGCCCGATTCAACCCGGCGTTACGAGGGCGGCGGTGCGCAGAGACTGGCGGACAACAAGGGGGGGAGGGGAGATGAAAAAGGCCGCAGGCTATGCCGTTAAGTGAAGGTGTCAGCGAGGGCGTTTCCTGAGCTTTACCTCCAAGTGTTAGACTGGGTTTTGGAGCATCGCAGTCCTTGCCGTTAAGTGTTAGACCAGTCGCAGCCTTCGCGCGGTCTAACACTTAGAGGTAAAGGATGACGGGTCCCCCGGTGGAATGGGTGGGATACGCCCCAGTCCCAGAAGGGCCGCCGTGAGCCGAGCGTACCCACCATCGACGACTCGCCCTGCGTGCCCTGCGCGGTCTTAGGTAACGAAAACCGGGCGCCAGGCCTGGACAGGAAACATGGTCGCTATCCATTGGATCTAGATCTCGAATTGCCGTGCGGCAGTGGGCTATCCATCATGTGTGAGGTCACCAAGCAGGGCCCCCCGCCATGTGATTGATCTCAAGGGGTAAGGAGCCTCTTGGAGCTCCGTCAAGGAACGCATGCAGTCTTATCAGTAAGCCACGCATGTCTACACAGCACGGCACGGCATCTGGTTCTCATCTTACCAGGCGCCGCCAAGGAGTTCACTCTGCATGTCAGAGACCACGCAAGAGGGTTTGTCTTGTTGAATTGTTTTTGTATTTCATCAGAAGGGAAACAAAAGGATTATGGTATCTTGAAACATGATATCGAAGTGTTGCTGTCGGGCCAGAATAAGAAAAATGCTCGCAGTGTTTTTGCTCGCTCGCTCTCGATCGACAATCAAAGAAATGCTAGGCTCGACGGCTGTATCATCCTCGCCGTTCGATGCCAGATGGAAGTTGTTGTGTTCGTGTGTATGCTGGCGTATCGGCCAAAAGCAACAAAAAATGGAAAAAGCGCCAGAACTCCGGGGCCTTTTTACGTCCCAAATATGCTACATCTTTTTGCTCGTTGCATGTCCGTGATTTCGAATATTTCTCTCGTCTTTCGGTGATAGATAATGGTTGGTGAAGTGGTTTTTGTAGCGGTGCCCGTTCTTGTGGGCGCGTCCGCCGATAGTTTCGGCGTACCAAGAATGCGCGCCGGCGACGCTATTGGCCTGCTTCGAGGCTTGGCTTCGGACTTGGAGGGGAGGGAGGGGAACGTAAGCTCGACGGCGGCCGCCCGCCACCGCACCGCGTTCGCGCACCTGGTACTTTCTCTTCTCTCTTTCCGGCTCTTTCACGCCTGCAACAAATCATCGACAAAGCCCATCCTGTCTCTCCTGGGATCCGACACCCGGGCGTACTCGAGCAGCAGGCGCAGGACATAGACCTGCATGTCCTCCTTGCGCAGCACCTTCTCGGCCCACGCCTTGCCCTCGCTCGCGATCTTCTCGGCCGCCGCGTCGTGGCCCGGCGCGCCCTTGCCGTAGCCGACAAAGTACTCCATGATGCCGTACCAGTCGCTGAAGCGGCTGTCCATGGGCACAAAGTGCTTCCAGGCCATGAGGCGGCTGTCGTGCCACTCGCGCCAGAGCGTGGCCTTGATGGGCAGGCTCGTGCTGCGCAGGAAGCCCAGGTAGCGGCCGCTGAAGCTGTTGCCGTCAATGTCGGGCAGGTACTTGTACCGGAACTGCTCCGCCATCTTCATGCCCTTCTCGACCGCGAAGTAGTGGCCCGTGTAGTTGCACTGGCCGTGCTCAGACTTGTACAGGCACATGAGGTCGACAAAGGCCACGTCGCCCCACTGGTTGACCCATTCGCCCAGCTTGCCGTCCTTCTGAGCCTTGAGGCCGTACGACTCGCTGGGGAGCGCAAAGTTCTCCGGCGCGGCGCTCCAGTCCTCCGCGCGCGCGATCTTGGTGCCGTTGTTCATCGACACGAAGCGATGCCTCTGGAAGCCCTTCCAGTTCGTCTCTCTGTTCTTGCCGCCCGTCGCGACCCCACGCCAGATGACCTTGTCTTCCTTCTGACTCCATGGCGCACCGTGATCGTTGCCACCCGTGAATCGCTCCTCCTCGTTCCAATACATCGGCGCAGGCAGAAGAATCTCGTTGTTGACGGCTAGCTTGCTGCCTCCAAACATGGGAAACAGCAACTTGGTCGCAGACACGGACAGCGGCTCGATGAAGATGCCTTCGAGGCTCTGCAGATCGGGCTGGTGGCAGAAGTCGGTGGAGAGGGTATAGTTGGAAACAAAGCCCTTCTCCATGTGCGCTTTGCTGTAGGTGTCCGTGATCTGGGGAGGGTGGTCGAAATCCGTGGCCATCTCTGTCGTGCGCGCAGCAGACTCCGGGGGACAGCCGCGTCGAGCGATCTGCCAGTAAGGCTCTGAAACAAGAAACCATGGTCAGTATTGGCAGTGTCTAAGGTATAGTATCACAAACATACTTGTGTCTTCCCAATTCTTGGGCGCAGTGATCGAAGTACGATCATCACCCTCCCCAGGCTTAGGCAACGGCTCAAACTTAGTGATGACGTCCTTCGGCTCGGGCATGGATCTCGTCTTCTCGGCTTCGTTCATGAGTCTGTTGATCTCTTCAAAGGGAACCACCAATCGAGGCTCGTCCATGGCGTTGAGGGCCAGATCCATGTCGGGGAGCAAGTGCTCGATAGTCCTGATCAGCTTGAGCCAGATCTGCGTCCAGAACCAGTCGCTGCCGGCCGTCGCCCGGCCTTTTCGGATGTTTATTGTCATCTCATAATCCCACGACTCCTTGCGGATTTCCGCGGCCGGGACGGCCCAGAAGGGCCCCAGGTCGTGGTAGATCTGGTCCCAAAACTCCTCGACAACGATGGCGTTGCTGTCCTTGGCGAACTGGAACCACGCGCTGAAACCCGGCGGAGGGTGGCGCCCGCGGCGCTTGCGGTATGCGGCGGTAGCTTGCGCGAGGGTCGTCGACCTCTGGGCGAGCAAGGCGTCAAAGTCCTTGTCGGCGGCGCTGATGAGCGCGTCGATCGGGTGGCTTCCCGGGCTGCTCGACACTCCCGAGGCCGGCTTGCTGTGGTCTACCGGATGCTGCTGGTCCCCATTGCTCCCGCCTTGTGACTCCGACCCTTGGTGAGTTTGCTTCTGAGGCTGCGCCTGAGGTTGTTGCGGACCGGCCGCCGGTCCTTGGGTGGGCGCCTTGAAGGTTCCAAAGTCTGATGCCGATTGGCTGAGGTAGTAGAAGCAGAAGAGAATGACGGCGGCAGGTACGAGATACCGCAAGAGGGCCGAGGGCCTCCGCGGAGGAAATGCCGGCGAGCGCATTTGGAACGTTTGATCAAACCATGGGAGGTGACCTTGCAATGGGGTCACGACGCTTGCGCCTGGCAACATTCACTTCTGCAGCAAATGGTGGTAGGTCAGAACGTGGTCATTTTGGGCCCGTGGGTGAATGGGGAAGCTTTTGTCGTGATCTGAAGATCCGAAGCAAATCACACACAAGATTTGCTCTCGGCGAGCCGGGAAACGGGCGGCTGAACACCTTCCGCGAGGTAAATTGAGGTAGGTACTTGGCGGTGATGGTGGTGCGGGAGTGACATATGGAGGGGAGGAAGGGACGGAGGGGGCCAAGACGTACGTTCGCTCCCTGGAGGAGCAAGAGAACAGGCAAACCGCCAACAAGCTTCTCGACGCCCCGAGGCACACACACACTGGATACACAGAAATAGATATCCTGGCCGGGGGAGAGTGGCCCAGACTTCCGACTCGTCACGCTGCCAACGGCGTGTTTGAATTCTCGCGCGTCGACGGGGATATCTTGGTTTCGACGTTTGGTGAGCCGTGGGGCTCGGCAGCACAGTGTAACGGCTATTGCAGCATCGAATATGCACACAAAGGCAAACAGAGCGCAGAACAGCAAGCAGATTAAAAGGAGTGACAAATAAAAGGCCCGGTCGAGTATCCCTCTTTTTTTGGAGCAAGCAAAGAGGCGGAAGAGCAGCAACATACAACAGCAACAAGGAAAAAAAAAAGCAGACCGATCAGGACAAGCCAAGAGTGGGAGAGATCGAATAAAGAGAAGAAGCAGCCCCGGAGAACCCCCGCGAGGATGGATCGAGCGTAATTAAGCATGATGATCTCTGGCGCTTGTACACCAACACACACCAGACACACACACCTTGCAGGCCAGGAGCAAGCATGTCACCATGTCGAAAAATGAAGATGTGCCAAGATGAGTGGGCCGGGGGGGAGGACAGGCACACAAGAGGTGGGCAAGCGGTGGACAGGAGGTGGACACCGCGGGACTGGGTGGTAGCGAAATAGGGGGTGGCCAATGGGCATTAACAGGCGCGAAGGGACAAGCAAGCACTTGTAAAGAGCCAAATTAAAAGTGCTCTGGGCGATCTGGCTCGTGGCCGCAAACGGCAAAGGGTCATCTTGCGAATAATCCCAGTTGGCGGTCTTGGTCAAGGATGCCGTGCATGGCTAGGCCCGATCCCCTCCAGCCCTTTCATGTCCGTTCTGTTGGTGGGATGTAACCCTGAAGAAATTCAGATCCAGGGGAGGAGCTAATGTTCCGCTGCAGAATGCATAAATCCCGACGTGATGCCACAGGCACTGAAGCAGCACAGTACTTGTATTCTCTTTTGAAATATGAGATGCGGCTAGGTACATGCAGCTCCGGACGCACGCAGAATGCAGGGGAAAGTGGTTGGCCATCGCTACTTGTATATCGCCGTCGGTATCGCCATCACCCCTCCTCCCCAAGCTCCCCTTCTGTCACTCACTGGCCCGCTTTTCGTCCAGCTCTTCCGGCTCTTCTTCATGTGGGCAGCACCTCCACTCATTTCGAAAATCATCAACCCACGAGGTTTGATCTTTGCCAACTTGCTGACGCAGCCGCTGGGTGATCCCCGCTGTCCACTGCCAGTGGTGTGTCGAGGTGGAGGCCTGTGAACGGCGCGGGGTGGAGACATGCTGTCCACTCCAAAACGACGGCGGCTGATCTTTGGTGCTTGCGGCATCGAATGTGGTCGTCGCTTCGCCAATGGGCCCGTAGGTACCTGGACGACATACCTGGTCAGGTACGTCAGAACACAAAGAAAAGGGGGCCAGGGGGCCGCAAGGGGTGCGATTCTCCAATCGCAATGGCGCCCAGGTCCAGATCTGACAGCTGTCCAGATTTTGGGGCAACACCTGCGGACGCCATGCATGGGACAGCTCGGGAGAGGCGTTTTTAAACTTCTTTTGCTTCAAAGCAAGCTGAACACGCGCGGCTTTCTTTGGCCAGTGTGCGGGTCCCGGAGAGACGTCGTCATCTCTCCTCCGAGGACTCGGCACTGCTGTTCCAAATCTAAGACAAAGCCGCCTCGGGTTCCCGTATGTGCATCCACGCTCCCGGTGTCATCTTACAAGTACAGGTTCATTCTTCTCGCCTAGCGCGCCCACGTTTTCACTACTTGTACAAGTAATAGGCCCCTCGTCCAAGATTACAAGATTAGGAGCAGCCGTTTGTATGGCGCTTCTTCCATTGTGGTTAAGCCGCCGACGGCACCGTTTTTCGGCGCCCACAAAACGTGTTCTGGCGCCAGCCGCTAAAGCTCCGGCAAGGCTTGGCCTCGGCACCAAAAGTCGAGAATCATCCTCATTGAGCGTCCCCGAGCTAATGAAGTAAATGATTGTCTTGTTAGCTGATGGGTAGTCTTTCCTTACTATATTAATTATTCATGAGTGCTGTCAGCAGTCTATCTCGGTAAGCAGACATGCAGCGATAATACGTGCTCACGACTGGCCATGAAATGAATAAAAGCTATGATAAGACATCGCTGGCTTTCATTACCCTTCAATGATATGTCGAGACGATGGTTTGCTTGTTGCCTACCTACTTAAGTATGGAGATTGGTCTTTTGTCTCTTCTGTCTATATCTTGCGAAGGTCAAGTCCTATGTTTTGCCTGGTCTTTTTACAGAGCTTGTACTTGTAATGGCTTGATTGCCTGCCTCCGAGGAAACTTGCGCCGAGTAATAGGCCACTCACTAGGTGGTGCGTTGTAAAAGTATGTATGTCTTCCTTGTCTTCCTCCGTAGAAACTAACAGACTTCGGCGTCAAGCATGCCCGGGCAGTCGTTCCCCAACTCGCAAAACTTCCGTCCCTTGGATCAAAGGCGGCAGGACACTGCTTTGCTATTTTAATTCCGGTTGTCTTAAACGTCCAAAATCAGCTGTAGAAAGCTGCATGCTTGTCCGAGACGGACTCTCGGATCTCCCACGTACGAATCCTGCAGAGCCAAGCTTTGATGTTCTCTAGGATGTCATCATCAAAAACGCAATGCCCAGAGCGTATTCAGCGGGGACCTGGTTCACTGGACCAAAAATAGTTGCAAGTCGCGATGACAACCACCATGTACATAAATACTTATTAGTTCTCAATCCGTAAAAGATAGTCCTGGGCATGCATGGAAAAATCTTTGTGTCGGCAAGACGCGATCATTGCCCTTCCCATCGATTTAGGTGACAAATTGGTGCTGGTTCCCGGTTTCAGATTATGGATACCACTGTGCCGGTGTGTACAGGCTTCGTAGTGAGCTGATCCATTTTTGGATCACTGTGCCCCCCCTTCTCCCCCCACTCTCGTGCGCAGCCATTGATGGAAAAGCAAGATGCGCGACCACCTTTGGTTGCTAGTGTGTGCTGCATCGATTC